AACAGTACCTGGAAATAAAAAATAAATAAAAATAAAGCAGCGAGACTGTTGTCATTTCGTTGCTCTGCTCAAAAAGTTGTTAGGTCAGGAAACGGAGTATCCACTACAGCCAAATATTCATCAAAGTTGTCAGCGTCACACTCGGTTGTCGGAAAGGGAAGTGGTGAAATACGGGCCATGACGTAAGAACAAACTTGAGCTGCGGAAAAGACGACTCGCATTCCGCTGACCACCGAAAGGGTGCGTTCTTGTTGAGCAGGGACGTCAAAAGGTAAGCGAGGTCGGCGAACCTGGGCACGAAGCGACGGAAGTACGAGCATAGGCCCAAAAAGCTTCGCAACTCTCGTACCGACTGAGGTTGTTTGAAGCTGCTGACTGCTGCGATTTTCTGGGGGTCGGGTCGAACGCCATCCTTGTCCACCAGGTGACCGAGAACGAGAGTCTCACGGCTGCCAAAGTGACACTTCTTAGAGTTCAGGGTGAGCTTAGCTCTCTCAAGGCAGGCGAGAACAATGTCTAGACGATGGTTGTGTTCATCGAATGTACGGCCAAAAATTATAATGCCATCCAGGTAGCCAAGACAAACTTCCCACTTTAGTCCACGTAACACAGATTCCATGAAGCGCTCAAACGTGGCTGGAGCGTTGCATAGGCCAAACGGCATTACATTGAATTCAAATAGACCATCTGGGGTTATGAAGGCCGTTTTCTCTTTGTCATTTGGGTGCATGGGGATTTGCCAATAACTAGATCTCAAATCCACGGAGGAGAAGTACGATGCCGAATGTAAACAATCGATGAAATCATCAATCCTGGGAAGCGGGTAGACATACTTTTTAGTAACAGAGTTGAGCCGTCTGTAATCCACGCAGAATCGCCATGTTCCATCCTTCTTTCAGACAAGAATCACAGGGGCAGCCCAAGGGCTACACGACTCTTGGATGACCCTTTTCTTTAACATCTCTTCTACTTGTTGAGCAATGACCTTGCGCTCCGCAGATGAGACACGGTATGGTTTCTGCCGGATAGGGTGAGCGGATCCTGTGTCAATCCCAGTGGCGAGTACGTGACTCGGGTACACTTATTTGCTCTTCATTCTGCGCAAAGTCAAATATAGTAGCGTGCTTCGCAAGGACTTCGACCAAAGCTTGACGTTTTTCTGATGATAGCGACTTGTTTACCATACTCAGAAATTTGGCTTCTGTATGGTACGTTGCACGAATAGGATCTACTCTCTCGTCGCTTAAAGATGCAATAAAACTGGTCGCATTTTGTTCGAAGAGGGCGAGTCGCATTTCGCAGGGTAGCATAACAGGTTCATTTGAATAGTTCGACACCCATAAGGCCGATCGCCTATCACTGATCGACAGAACACAATGTGGAACGAGCACATTTTCTTGGTGCAATTGAGAGGAATGGGCTCCACAAGAACATCAAACTTTCCGGCGTCCGAGGCAGAGGCGTCAACGCGTACGGTCTTCATCGAGTTGGGCGGCAAGACAACATCCTCAGTGATGGTGATGTATCCTTGACAGCACCAAGGATCGTCAGTAAAGGCCGATAGCATAATCTCGCCAGCACCGCAATCTACAGTAGCCCCGCACTCGCGTAGAAAATTGATCCCTAAGATGATGTCATGGGTGGAGCGGGTCAGGACAGCGAATTCAGCCTCGAAGACCTTGTCACCCAAAGTGACCAGAGATGGATTGGCCTCCAGAGATGAATTGGCCACCCTAGTGCAGTATCTGGCCACCACCTCCCACATGCATACGTCAAATAACTCACGGCCCTCAGTCCCCAGCAGCTGCGAAGCAACTGACCACGGCGGCGGTCAGATCTGCAACGCAGCAGAGGGTGCTAAGAATCTCTGGATCCGGACAGGCCGCCATTGGAACCTGAACTTGGCAACGTTTAACGCTAGAACCTTATCTAGTGAGGGAAGTCTAGCTCTACTATTCGAGGAGCTATAGGGTGTTAAATGGGATATAATAGGGCTCAGTGAGGTTAGGAGGACAGATGAGGCCTATACGGTGCTACAGAATAGGCACATCCTTTGGTATCGGGGCTTGGCAGACAGAAGAGAACTGGGAGTGGGGTTCCTAATTCACAGAAACATAGCTGGCAACATAGAGGAATACTATAGCATTAATAAAAGGGTGGTAGGTATCGTAATTATATTGAATAAAAGATACACGATGAAGGTGGTACAGGCTTACGCGCCTACATCCAGCCATGATGACGCTTCAGTTGAAAGCTTCTATGAAGACGTGGAATCGGCAATTAGCAAGGTAAAAACACAGTATACAATACTGATGGGATATTTTAATGCAAAGGTAGGGAAGAAGCAGGCTGGAGACCAGGCAGTAGGAGATTATGACATCGGTACTAGAAACGCCAAAGGAGAACTACTAGTAGAATTCGCAGAACGCAATAATTTACGGATTTTGAATACGTTCTACCGAAAACCAGGAAACCGCAAGTGGACATGGAGGAGCCCTAATGGCGAAAATAAGAACGGAATAGACTTTATAATGAGTGCACACCCAGGAATCATGCAGGATGTGGAAGTGCTGGGCGAGGTACGATGCAGTGACCATAGAATGGTACGGTCTCGGATCGCCTAGACTTGAAGAAGGAACGACAGAAACTGATATGCAAGAAGCCAATCAATGAGCTAGCACTGAGAGGAAAAGTACAGGAATTCAGAGTCTCGCTTCAAAACAGGTACTCGGCTCTTAGTGAGGAAACCAACCTTAGCGTAGATACAAAGAACGATAATCTGACGAGTATCATTACGGAGTGTGCAGTGGAAGTTGGAGGTAGGGTAGTTAGACAGGACACTGGCAAGATTCCTAAAAAACGAAGAATCTAATTAAGAAGCGTCAAATCATGAAAGTCTCAAGTACAACAGACAAAGTAGAACTGGCAGAACTTTCGAAGTTGATTAATAGGCGTAAGGTATGCGATGTAAGAAGGTATAACATGGAGAGAATTGAACACGCTCTGAAAAACGGAGGAAGCCTCAAAGCAGTGAAGAGGAAACTTGGGATAGGCGAAAATCGGATGTATGCACTAAGGACAAACAAGGAAAATTAACTAACAATATGGATAGGATAGTTAAAATAGCGGAGTAGTTTTACAGAGATCTATACAGTAGCGGAGACAACCACGACCCTAATACTATAAGAACTAGCAGTAACAAAGATGACACCCCACCAGTAATGATAGAAGTCAGAAAAGCTTTGGAGAGCATGCAAAGAGGCTAAGCTGCTGGTGAGGATCAGGTAACATCAGATCTGCTGAAAGATGGAGGACAGATTGTGTTAGAAAGACTAGCCACCCTGTTTACGAGGTGTCTCATGACGGGATGAGTACCAGAGTCTTGGAAGAACGCTAACATCATCGTAATACATAAGAAAGGAGATGACAAGGACTTGAAGAATTACAGGCCGATCAGCTTGCTCTCTGTAGTACACAAGCTATTTACAAAGGTAATTGCTAACAGAGTAAAGAAAACATTAGAATTCAATCAACCAAAGGAACAAGCAGGATTTAGTACAGGCTACTCAACAATTGACCACATTCATACTGTCAATCAGGTAATATAGAAATGCTCAGAATATAACCAACCACTATACATAGTCTTCTTAGATTACGAGAAGGCGTTTGATTCAGTAGAAATATCAGCCGTCATGCAGACACTGCGGAATCAGGGCGTAGATGAAGTATATATAAACATTCTGAAAGAAATCTACGGGGGATCAACTGCTACCATAGTGCTTCATAAAGAAAGCAACAGAGTACCAATCAAGAAGGGTGTAAGGCAGGGGCACACAATCTCCCCAATGTTATTTACCGCGTGCTTACAGGAGGTTTTCAGAAGCCTGGAATGGGAACAGTTAGGGATAAGAGTTAATGAAGAGTACCTTAGTAACCTGTGCTTCGCCGATGACATTGCATTGCTGAGTAACTCAGGGGACGAATTGCAACTCGTGATTACGGAGTTAGACAAGGAGAGCAGACGGGTGGGTCTTAAAATTAATCTGCAGAAAACGAAAGTAATGTACAAGAACCTCGGAAAAGAAGAGCGCTTCGAGATAGGTAATAGTGCACTTGAAGTTGTAAAAGACTATGTCTACTTAGGGCAGGTAATAACCACAGAACCGAACCACGAGATTGAAGTAACTAGAAGAATAAGAATGGGGTGGAGCACATTCACCAAGCACTCTCAAATTACGACAGGTAGATTGCCACTATCCCTCATGAGGAAGGTATATAACAGCTGTATCTTGCCGCTACTTAGCTACGGAGCAGAAACCTGGAGACTTACAAAGAGGCTTCAGCTTAAATTGAGGACAACGCAGCGAGCAATGGAAAGAAAAATGGTAGGTGTAACCTTAAGAGACAAGAAGAGAGCAGAGGAGATTAGGGGACAAACGGGAATTAAGGATATCATAGTAGAAATAAAAAAGAAATGGAAATTGTCTCGGCATGTAGCGCGTAGACAGGATAACCGCTGGTCATTAAGGGTAACAAACTGGATTCCCAGAGAAGAGAAGCGGGTTAGGGGGAGAGGGGAAGCAGGTTAGGGGGAGGGGAAGTTTAAGTGGGCAGATGAGATTAAGAAGTTTGCAGGTATGTATTGGCAGCAGCAAGCTCAGGACCGGGTTAACTGGCGGAACATGGGAGAAGCTTTTGTCCTGCAGTGAACGTAGTCAGGTTGATGATGATGATGCAACCAAATTAACGATTAAAAGTTTTAAAATGTGTGAACGTAGTTATAATTAACCCTACGTACGTGACGCCGTCAATCAGCAAGCAACTTTTTAATACAAGAAATCCTCTAAAATTAGTAGCAAACGCCCAAATTGCCGATTTCAAAGGCCAAGACAAAATTTTCACTCCTACGTAGGCAGCGCCGCCATAAATGACGAGCGTTTCGCGCTCATCCGGCAGGCACAGGAAATTTAGGAGGCGTTGTCTGGTGTGACGCCAACGAAAGCTGCTGACAGGCTGAGAGTGTTCTTTGGTGTTCTCTCCTGAAACGTGCTGAGGGTCGCTGTATACGTTAGCAGTGGCCGTGGATGCAGTCCGTGACGCCCTGGAGCCTTATATTGTGAAAAATTCGTAATGTCAGTTGTCGTTGATGGTAGCGGTGATGCCAGAATGCAAGAATATTCCAAGCTGGCTGCCGACCTAGAACAGCAAGAGCTGGAGGTAAGCACATCAACCGAAAACTAAGCGTCCTGCGCTCCGCGCCTTCCCCGAAGTTTGCATGCGCGCGTGTGGGTGTGAACGACGGTGGCTTGCGCGTCGTGGGGCCGACTTTGAATCGCTCCCCGCTACAAGCTGAACGCAAACGAAGTAATGTATGTTAGGTCGCTGTCGAACTGTAACTTAAGACGCTCTTATGTTTCTTAACGTGCCAAGAGATGTGTAAATTTAAGCGAACTAAGCGCGACTAGCGCGTACATGTAAATGGGACCCTGTCTGGCGAGCCGCCGTGCTTATTGTGGGGCCCCACCTACAATAAGCGCAAACGGCCGAAATTTCAATTAATCAATGTTATTGTCTCTGGGCTTGGAATTCAGTTCCCCATGGGCGTTTACTCATACTCGTCGTTGCGCGCTTTGATTCCGCGAGTCAGAGACACGATCGAGACCGACCTCTTAAGTGCACATTCGCGTACAGCAAAATGTTCCATGATTTCTGCAACGCGTCCTTAATTCCGTTAATTAAAACTGCCAACATCGCCCGCGTACTCGTGAACAACGTCGGAGACGCACTCGCGAAATTCGCGGCGGACGACGCGTCGTTGATTCGGCAAGGCTCTGTTTGGCGTTGCATAAGTCTGTTGCCAGACTTCGGGGTGGTTGTTGTCACACTGCTATCAAATTTAGCGGAGAAATTTACTCCTGTAGTTGTTGCTTCTCTGTGAGGGTTTGGTGCCGTCCGAGGTGCATTTTGCGAGTGCGTGAGCTACGTTGGCCGTTTTAATTAACAAAATGAACGTTCCAGAAGTCTTGGCGCGTTCTCTTGCTGTGTGCGCTGATGCGCACACCTCAAGAGAACGCATATGTGGTATGAGATTATACGATACGACGCGAGAAAAAAAAAAAAAAAGACTGAATTCAGAAATGTATACATCCTCTCGTTACCCATTTCATCGTTGTCTTTGTCTTCTTTCACCTGTTGGTAATAATGCCGTCCAGTATGTACTATGACCTTGGGTCAAATCAAAGCTGATATACAAGACATTTGTAAAGTACCACTTAGGACTAGAAAACACGCCCAGGCAAGTTCCAAAACTAGTCCAAAACGTGTCTAACTTTATTTTATATATGACGCGCACTCGTGGTACCGACACGTACGCATGTCCAACGTAAGTTGGTCAACGTTTGTTTGCGAAGCATACGACACGATAACTGAGCAGGTATATATCCTCGAGCTATTTTAGGGACATGATCACTTTCGCGTGATTTCGCGTCATGTTGTGCAGTGACTGATACATATACTAAAAAGACGTGAGCTTGTTGAGCCATCAGCTTCGCACCAGCTGGCTGTATCGTTCGTGGACGCGGCGAGTGAAAGTGTGAGCGTATGAAGTCGTACCCCAACTGCGTATGCTTGAGGGCATTAGTTCAGCTTTTTAGCGAGCTTATCTACGTATTTCCAAGCGGACAATGCAGAAAAAAAAGCAACGTGCACGCAGCGCATTGTTTCGTTTGCTGCCACGACGGTAGAGTTTGTTTACGTTTACGCTGGCTGTCCCAGCGTTCGATATTGCGATCTTCGGGCAGCCTTGGGTTGTCTCGGGCATGGAGGAACGAAAACCTGAGGAGGGGGCCCTATCATATCCCCATGCAATGCGAGAAGTGTGGCGGAAGTGGCGTCAAATTTATGGGGCAAACAAAACAGCAGACGCTCTGCGGCGTGCTCTCAGCGCTGATTCGCTTCTGCACGGACTTATAGCCCCGGCGTAAACTTGACGCGTATTGTATGATTTGCATGCAGTAAAGTTGCGAGCACACCTTGCCGAGACTGTTCGTGCGTTGCAGGGCTGAGCACGGCGTGCTGAAGTACTTCGTGGAGTGTTTTTGTGCAACAGCACAGAAAGCACCGGTACGGGTTGTAATCATAATAATTCGGCCCCTGCATCATCGTATTCGGACTAACCCGGCAGTGACTAACGCGTTCTTCTTGCTGTAAGGCCTTTGTTTTTCTTTGGTCAGATTTCCTGATCTACGGGCCTAGCAGTTCTTTGCTCGCCTATAGTGTCGGTGTGGCAATGCACGATTTTGAGAGCTTCCTTCGTAGCTATTCCGTGCAACGCCAGCCTAGTAGTACTTGACGTACTTCACGTCGGTAAGAAGGCGCCGCTGTATTGTACACGCGATCGTGCACGTAAAGTGTGCAGTTCCAGTGCGCACTTAACTAACACGCAGCGAGCACACGCCGTACAATACATACACATTTAGTCCGATAACTAGAAAAGTTTATTGTCCTTCCGTATGAACGACTCAATTTCTAAAAACGCCGCAGGTCGCGGGTTCGAATCCCGGCTGCAGCGACAGCATTTCCGATGGAGACGGAAATGTTGTAGGCCCGTGTGCTCAGATTTGGGTGTACCTTAAAGAACCCCAGGTGGTCGAAATTTCCGGAGCCCTCCACTATGGCATCTCTCATAATCATATGGTGGTTTTGGGACGTTAAATCCCACATATCAATCAACTTCTAAGAACGCGACACAATGCCTACAACACTGAACAAAAAAATGGCGTGTGTTCTCAGTTGACACAATGAGTGAGAACCAACGAAGCATAGAGCTGAGAGCTAAGCATGCAAATATCATGCATTATTGATCAACAGTGAAGCGAACATACGTGAAAAGTGCCACCAGGTACGTCCACTGACTTCCTTTAAATAGGTTGGACGACGCATTTCCTCTTTCCCACGCGGGCGCTGGTGAAGACACCGGATGGTCCCTTTGCTGTCTCATAAGCTGGCGATTTCTGGCCGTTTTAGGCGCGTAAATAAAATATCTGTTCGCAGTAGTTGTTGTGATGGCATTTTTTTGTGTTTGATTATAACATTATGGGGCCATCCAACGCTACAAGAAAAATCACACTGTAGCGGCGCTGTCCGAATATGACGGAATGGTGTAGTATAGAACTAATGCATACAATAAACCATGCGATTAGGCATCAATTGGAATGCTGACTAACGCTACACTAAAGATGACACACCGTAGCGACCTAGTTGTAGCGACGCTGTCCGAATATGACGGAATAATGTATCGTACTACCTGACAATTACTCATCAGTTATGTAACAGAAAATAGCCCCGCCGCGGTGGTCTAGTGGCTAAGGTATTCGGCTGCTGACCCGCAGGTCGCGGGTTCAAATTCCGGCTGCGACGGCTGCATTTCCGATGGAGGCGAAATGTTGTAGGCCTGTGTGCTCAGATTTGGGTGCACGTTAAAGAACCCCAGATGATCGAAATTTCCGGAGCCCTCCACTATGGCGTCTCTCATAATCATATGGTGGTTTTGGGACGTTAAACCCCACATATCAATCAATCAGGTAACAGAAAAAAATTGTCATAGATTTTTTAACGAATAAAAAAGAGCAACGAGTCTAATGGTAGCAAAGGTTCGTCATTTGTAAGAGATCCGGGAAAGGAACAGCGTTGGGATGGAATCATTTCGAAGATTAGTTTTTGAAACCGGGCGCTCAAAGCATGACTCTGGAAAATGGTCACTGGAAAATCTGCTTTCTGGAGACGGTGCTTTCATTCAAAAAAGAGAGAGAAAAGCCCTAGCTCCGACATCAGGTGATTGTTCATAGCGGTGGCTTCCGGGACACCGACAGCGGCTTCCGGGACACCGACAGCGGCTTCCGGTGGCTTCAACCGCGCGCGCTCGATGCACCATCCAGCTCTCCCGAGTAGAGATCAGTGGGTACGTCCTGCGGTGCATGCGATTTGCACCTAGTATACACTACAGCTGGGCATAGCATAGCTTTCCTATAAAAAAACGCGCAAAAGAAGCAGTACTCATTATTGGACCTTTAATGATGATGATGTGTTTCCGTTCCCTTTATAACGGGTCGCCGCGTGTGTGGCCGCTTGGCAATAAAACAAGTATAAAAACTCCCAGCTATGGGAAAAAATTAAAAAAGGGAGAAAATTAGACAATTAAGAAAGATGTGAGCACAACCTACTTTTTCCACGAATTGACGTGCGTCCTTCTACAACGGCTACAAAGCATTATGGGAAACCATAGCGGCGGCGGAGTGTCGTCTGCTCGCGGAAGCGTTGGCTCACCCGTTTTCCACAGCACGCGGGCGTACGAATTCATCATTGCGGGAATGTCGCACCTCATAACCCTGCTTCCATTTTCACTCACAGAAGAGGCACCACCCAGTGCAACATGCAGTCAGGAAACACTAGTATCCTGGACTTATTAATCACTTGGGAAATTGCTCACGTACCCGTGAAAAGGCCCATTGTATTGGAAATTTTTCTCTGCTTTCGCGGGCAGTCCCCTGGGCTTCGTTGATCGTATTTCCGCGTAGCGGAAGCTTTCGTCATTTGTTTTATTGTCAGTATGACCGTACAGCTTCATTATTAGTACTTTATGTCGGGGACTGTCACTCGTGATATGCTTCCGCGTAATATGCAATTCAAGACCATGCACTTTGCGAATCATAATGTGGAAATTCCACCCTTTTAAATGAGTTCGAACCCCACTATGCTGTGTATATTTGAAGACTAATTACGTGTTTCAAATGCTGCAAGTGAGAAAGTTTGCATTTGGGATGCTGAGAGTAGTAAAAACCAGCTAACAGCTTGTCCATAGAGTGGAAGCTTCGCATGCAGTATTTGCTTTCAAACAGTGTAAAACCGGCTGTCTCTGCATAGTTCCTGTTTCTGCGACTGTGAGTTGAACATTAACTTGAGAATTTTGGACCTGGGGGACTGCGCAAAAGGTCATTCATGACTAGTTACCAATTGGAAGGAATATACAACGAAATGAGCATCAGTGTGCATAATTCACACATTATTCTATTTTACTGTTTTAGCTCCTATGATCTCTTGTTTCATTATAGTTTATGTTTATGTTAATTTAGTAATTTGTCGTTTGTATAGATCTGCCTGTCCAAGCTGCCCAAAACGTACAACCGTTCCTGTCACCTTTGCCAAAAAGGCCAAGAACAAAACATCTGAAGAACTCGCCTTACGCGTATTCAGAAGGAAAAATTACGCAGCATGAACATTCTTAAGGTGCTAATAAGCATTCACTATCTGGGCACAGATGGATTAAGCAAGAAAACGTTGCTGTGGAAGGCTGTTGATGGTTAGAATGACTTTAAAAGCAATGGTGAAAGCCTCAATCAGTGTGGGAAAGGTATAGACGGCCATAGCACCACCTACATAACTGGACAATGTGAAAGAAACTGACAGCGAGTGTGGCTTTTGTATCGATAATCATGAAACAACTAGCGCTCTTTGCCTTGGCACAGAAAAGAGAGGGAGAGAGAGAGGGACGCGTGAAGCAAAAATAGGTGAGGCCTCTAGGTTTATGGTTAATAAAAATCAGATGCGAGTAAACATAACCATGCAGTACACAGCAAAATAAACACTACGTAACCATGCAAAAAAAAAAAAAAGCCACGCAGGGTTATGCATTCCGCCAAGGCAACCTGAAGATGACAGCCGTCTGTTTCTCTTTGTTCAGTCAATTTATTTGTCCTCCCCCCCCTCTCCCCCGCATATGTTTTCTGCACCTGATGTGGCTTTGCACTGATTTATGACTGGAAGCATTCCAAACTTTCAGCACAACGCCTGGTTCTGCTCGGTCTCTGGGATAGGTGGGTCGATCACATAACAAAGCAGTGCAAAGTGACAATGACATCTCATGACGTGGTCATGGGACCGTCGTGATGTCCTTCCTTACACATTCTGGTGATCCTTTATGTCGTCATGACGTCGTGTGGTAGCGCCATCACGCGGTGATTTTTGCACCACTCCTGTTGACGTCGACTCCACGGGACGCCAAAGCCACTAACGGTCAATTTTTGTTTATAGGCGAAAACCTTAGATGCCTCATCAAACGTGAAACTCTACCATTTGCGTCCCGCGTCGACGACGTCGAGTGATCGGAAAAAAAAAAAAAAAACACGTGATGACAATCTATATATGACTTCAGACATCGCCAAAATTTTGACCTCATCAAAACATCACGTGACTTCACGTGATCACGTCATTGCACGACATCCGAGCTTGGTGCAAAGTGGTCTGATCATGGTGGCAATGCAAAATCAGTTTTGCAGTGCCTCCGATTTTGGAGGCAGTGCAAACCTCGTTAGGTACAGCAAGTTTTCAAAGGGTGTTGTGAATGGTGGCAGGCTGGGGCGTTGGCCGGGGGGGTCCAGAAGGGGCGCTGGCCCCCTTCAAGCCACACCGGCCCATGTCCAAGCTACACCAGTGCTCTCCCCCAGCCGCGACGCAACACTCTTTCGCACTCAAGGCAAAACCCTGCTGACAGAAATAGACTGACGGGGTAGGATCAGTACATCGACTGAGAAAAAAAAACAGAAGATGGTCTTCTCCATCAAATCGTCTTAGGTGCATAATTAGGGGACCCTGTGAAATATTAATTAGGTATTTAAGCCTCTAACCTTAATAAATTTGCGTATATAATTACAGGTTAAGCGGTTAGTGTTAAATCTCAGTCCCGTAATCACAGTGAGGGCACAGATAAGAAAGGTACAACTTGGCTGCAGCACCACAAACATCGAAGCCATGAAGTAGCACCAAGCAGTGAATGAATAACACAAATGTTGGGGTTTAATGTCCCAAAACCACCATGCGATTATGAGAGACGTCGTAGTGAAAGGCTCCAGAAATTTAAGCACACGGGCCTAAAACATTTTGGCCGCCATCGAAAATGCTGCCGCTGTGGCCGGGATACAACCCCGTGTCCTGCGGGCTAGCAGCCGAGTTTCATATCCGCTAGACCACCTTGGCGGGTAAGCAATGAATGAAACGCCTTGTGACTTTCACGTATTATCACATCCCAGAACCGAGCAAGTGTGCCCGCCGCTTTCCTTATTCGGCTGTTCAGTGATGAATATGGTTATTTGCGACGAACAACGCAGTCTAGTATGCGTGAATGAAAGAGCCATCAGAACAAGCGTTACTTTACAATGGCAGCTCCTTACACCAGCCAAAACCACTCACGGCGCGCGATGGAAGCAGGCAAAAGCGGGAAAGCATCTGCTCTGACCATCGGCGCTCCACTCTCCCATAATGCCCCAGCGCCGATCCACCAGCGGACCTTGTGGATCGCGCAACGCTGTGATTTCTGGAAAGGTCCATTGATTCGCTGCCGGCAGAGAACACCTACCACTCCATGGAGGAAGGAAGAACTTTTCTTCCTCTGTGTACCACTCCATCGGCGCCGCTTCCAAGGCCGCTGCGGCGGCTGCTCGCCGAAAATCGCAAAGTGCTCATCTGCTTTTCCGCTCGGAGGTAGTGCAGGTGTTTGCGACGCGATGGCCTCACGAATTCGACGTTATGGCCTCTCTATTTTTTCTTCGTCTCGGGTTCCCCACGCACGTGACCAAGACGTTATTTCCTGTCCGGACCAGAACTAGCCGACACACCTTTGCCTAGCTCAGAGAGGTGTAGCAGTTAGGGCTAGGTGGTATGACATGACGATAGTTATAGCGCGAGAACAGAACGACGACAAGGAGAGTTATAGCGCGAGAACAGAACGGCGACTTGTCTCTTTGTCGTCGTACTGTTCTTACGCTATAACTATCGTCCTAGCTTAGAGGCCTGAAATCGAAGAGCCCCAGACTGATCCATAAATCTGGCAACTATCTTATGCAACTCTAAACCGTCGGTAGGTGTTCTGTGCCCTCGTGCGCCAAAGAGTACCTTACCCATTTCCTTTGTTAGACACAATACTAATGAGAACAGACAATGATACCGAGATTAAGGTGCCAAAATAACTCAACTGTAAATGAATTCTGCGGGGAATTCGCGTTATTTTTACGGCACTTCTTTACGCCGTATTTTGCCCTGCGCGTCTTCCTAAAGCATCTAGCATGCTGTGTATTAGCGTTGTGAAGCAGCGAGGAATGTCAAAAGTCATGTTTCCTTCATCTATCAAGTTTACTGTATGGCGATGATGTCAACCCATCTTTTGTGTTCGTTTTTATGAGGCAAGCAGTCGCAGTCGTATTTAAGGTGGTGATGCGGGCTAGTTAGTTGTGTTACCGGCGTATGGCGCAGTCGCGATTTTTCGGTCGACTTCATTTTTGTGCGCTAAAGCAAGGGCAGGTTCCATTGAATAAGTGAATAGGTTCGAGTGAGTGTAACATCCCTTTCTCTTGATGATTTTGTCTCCCAGGCAAACAATGGCGTTGCCAGTCCACAGGCTTATGGTCAGCTGCTAGCCATCTACCTCCTACAAAATGATCTGTAGGTATAATCTTCACTTTTATGATTGCTGTGTACTTAGCGCTATCACACCTGCTTTATGCTACTTAGGCCGAATGCCAAGTTCCTCTGGAAGAGGATTCCTCAAGAAATCAAGCAGGTATGTGTTTAGATGCGTTGGAAGACATTATTTGCTCAATGTGTTGCTTCAACAATGGCACAACTTGCATTTTGTGAGCACTAGTGCACACGGAAACACTACTACGATGGCACTCCTGCGATGGGTCTAACTACGAACTAGCCTTCTGAAAATAACCCGCCTGAGATATAAATTTTGTTTTAGTTTTTGTTCAGAAGCAATTAAGTTCCCTGATGCTGCTGCCTTCAAAAAAAAAAAAAAAAAAAAAAAACAAACAAACTCGCGCTTACTCTTGGCTTAAGTAATACAGTGCCATCAGATGCTGTGTAAAGTGCACGGGCCATTCACACTGCTATATGGCACAATTCCTTGATAGCACTGCCAAGTTCAGACTCTGGATTTTGCAGTAATCAACACAGTACTATTTTCCGTAAGTAGTAGCATTGACGAGTACTTTCGTGTTGCTAAACATTTGCACAGGTCTCATGGTCTCATTTCACCTTGATGTTATAGAGGCACATGTATGGGCCGATAATACTTGCCTGTTTCTTTTGCAGCTAGGGCTTACTGTGTATTGGAACTACCACTCCTCTTCCACAGTTAGTCAAGAAATCGCTGCAAAGTTAGCCATTTACCAAAAGCTTTTGGTATTTATGCAGTTATTCTGCTACTGCACACATAGTGTAGTCCTTCAAGGTGATGGTCCCACGCCGGCCACAGACACTCCGCCTCTCACGCATTGTTTGCGGATGCACTGGGCTCACTGTGGGCTACTTTAGAAAGCTTACTATCCCCCTTTTTCAATGACGTCCGACTTTAATGCCTGGTTGGAAGCATTACCTATTAGCAATGAAAATAGTATGAGCAACAAAAACATTTTCACTGTACAAGCCTTCGTTGTACTGCAAATACAGCAAAAGTATTTAACATAACAAAGCAGAATTCACTGTGCCTTTAGAAGAACTGCCATTCAAGGTTTATATAAAGAGATATTGGATATAAACTAATGGGGCATTTATAAACTAATGGGGCATTTTATGGCTGTACTTTGCATTACTGATAAAGCGACAAAACTATGCAAGCTGATACTCTGAACTTCTATATAATAAATCAGCAGGCCCCTTTCTGTGATTATATGAAGAGAAAATTCTTCTATCTTTATTAGAAAACTTACAAGACAGCATTGAATATAGCTAATTTTTCTGCTGGCCAGTTCTGTAGAATCTCACTTTTTTTTTTCTTTTAAGACGCTAACTATCAACGAACATTACACATTAGTAAATGCATATTGTGTCTTGTATCTATTGGTGCTCACTTACTTGACCACTCAGTGCTTTAAACTAAATATTTTCAATGAATGACAAACCTCACAGGCGTTTTTTGGTGGCAGCTCCATCTATTAAATGAAAAATGAAGTTGTTTCATGTGAGTTCAAATGTTTGCCAAATGTGGCACAATTAAGCATAATGAAACGGCTAAAACAGGTATGGTATATATCTCCAGGTTTCATTGTTTGCCTTACAAGGTAAGTCTAGTCGCCGCGCGTAACAAATACCGATCGTAAAAGGAGGAGGGTTGAGTAATACTCGCACCATGTCAGCAGGTGGGGCAGTGTCATCAAGTGGCAAATGGTTTGGGTACACCGGAAAATTGCGCGTTCGTCACGCGTTCGCAGAACCAGCGTTCCCCGCTGCGCCTTTAGTAATATGCATGTCTTCGTGGTTCAGCTGCTCGTGTTTTGCGTGTTTCTTTGAGTTTTTTCATGCCTCTGAGGTTCAAAATTGTGAAAGGAATGACGCTGACATGTCGTGCTTATGGTATGTATGTAGTGCCGCTTCGAAGGGGACACAATGTTCTTTTTTTTTCTTTTTTGCCTTGCATATGAAGACTGTTCAGATTTCACATGCACGACAAAATACAATGAAGAAAGGTCAGCTCTGAGCTGACCATTGGTCAATACTCTCGCATTTGTACCAATGTTTCGATGCTGATAGTCCACTCTGGTACATCCTCTTGTCCCTTCACCACTTCAAAAAACTGGCTCGCTCACTCACAGAAATATTGTCACACAGATCGCACATCTACATCTGCATTTTCGGTGGCCATTCTCAAATCTTGTAATTGCCGAGAATTTCAGAGTAAGCTTGTATAGTCAAAGAAGAATAACCCATCTTAGATGCTCACGAAAATGGCCGCATGAAAAGAATAGTGCTGATACATATTCGGTCATTCCAGCGATGCAGGTGGCGCTATGTAGCCGTGCTCCATAGCTGTCACACGGTGATAAAACTGCGATGCTGTTTGGTATCTCAGTAGTCGTAAATCGATGAATGGGTTTTTACACTCTGCGACACTGACGTAAACGCTCGCAACATCGCCGTCTCGTCCGCCATTTAGACCTTCGGCTGCGCCGCATATAGTCGCTGGAATGATGGAATACTGTAGCACTGGCGAACATTTTCGATGCAAAGTTTGCGTACTGCAAGCACTTTTGGCATCTATCAACGTAGCTATCTATTTATTCAGCCGCTTACATCTGGGTGCTCTCGTGATCGCATGAACCAAAATTAGTGTAGGAGGATAAGATAATTTCATCAATGTGACGTGATAGTCAAGACATGAATACTTTCAGAATCCCTTTGCATACACTGTCAAACACCTTCCACTAGAGAGTGGCACAAACCTGCGGGTGGGTATGTGCCACAGGTGATCAACATAATGCAAAGAATAAGTGTAAAGGTCTCAGCAGGAATTGAACCTAAGCATTATACTTGGCAATCAAGCATTCTACCACAAAGCCACATCAGGTCTCAGAACTACTTTTCAAATAGACCCTAATATTCGTCAAACATTAACTGTAGTTGCCGTGCTGGCTATCAAATTATATCATGATTACATATGTACTGACAGTACTCCTACGATACAGTCATGACGTCGAGTCAACGTCAATTGTAGTTAAGTGTCATGCGCTGAAGTTGATTTATGTAAGAGTGTTCGGGGGGGGGGGGGGGGGGGGTAGCAGAAAGATGTCGAAAGGAAGACTGGAAACAGCGTGAACCAACGAATGGATTTTCCCACGTCATACCGCATACTAGGCGGTCCACGTAATAAGAAAAACCATGGGCTCTAGGAGCTTCTAACTCCTCTATATTAGTGTAAATCATCCGTTCAACTAATCATCAACAAGAGGCACTTTATTTAGGTGATCCTTTTGTTGTAGAGGGTGAAATTTAGCAAATAATCTCGGGGGTCCTCAGGTTATATTTTGCTGAAATGTGCCTGGCTGTTTTTGTGGCGTAAGCTACATTGGCTGAGGTTAAGCAGTTTCACGTGGCAAGAAAAAAAAAAAAAGGACGCGTTCGTGCGACGCTACACTACATCAAGCCAGTGCCAAGGTTGCTACATAAAACAAAAAGTTAGCGGCAATGCCAGTGCACTCAAACTCTTCAAAGCGTTTGGTTGATGTCATGTTCAATCATTATTCCACGATAGTGAGCGAGTAAGAGAGACAGAGAGAGTGTGTGTTTGTGTATGTACGTACGTATTCGCGTGTTTACACTTTAGTGAAACGACGCCGGTTTCAGTCTGCCAGCTGTCACTAGGGCACCTTTCGTCGTGTCGTTGAAACGACGGCCACAGTTGGCGGATTGTAGGTGAAATACGCTGTCTGCATTTGTGCTCCTTGGTTTTCATTGGCTGATTAACGCCGCCTCACGTGACATACAAGACGCACGAGGCGTCGCTGACCATACTTGCGAGAGCAATTTTCTCTCTTTTTGCAAGCTTGGATTAGTAGCGTCGTCTGGCGTCTTCTTTCGAACTATTGCCAGGAGGAGGGAGTGGAATCGCCACCTTAATGGACAGATAACATTGTTTAAGATAACTGAACTAGAGACAGCTTTGACTTTTTAACAGTGGAGCTTAAGCTTTTCGTTTGTAGAATGTATATCAAAATTGCACATTGCCTAGCAACCAATTGGCACAGCTGTGTCTCGCCTCGCATAGAAAGAGAACTACACGATTGTATTGCTATGAATGAAATAACGAGAAAAAAAGAGTAAGCAAAAGAACAATATAGAAATATGCAAAAGAAAGAGAAGGAAAACCTAGAATAGCCGTTTATAGCGTTTTATATCAAAAGAATTAGAAAGGGAAATGAGGGATGATGCAAGCATGTAAAGAAGAGAGGAGGAAGAGTGGGCAGAAGGTGAAGCATAGCATAGCTGTCTGTAGTTTAGCAAGGGGTGGGAAATAGTAAGGGTGAGGAGAAAGCTAAGTCCGCCAGCTCTGCTGTTACCTCAGTTTTTGCACCGCTAGCATCGGGGCATAGCTGCGCCAATTTTTTTTGCCATGTTAATTTACATGATGAATCGCTTTTATTATCAGCCCATGAATTTAGTTCCATTGGTCTAGTCTTGAATTCTAGTGTCAGAACCCGAGCGATTTCCTGCTCATTTAGGCGCAAGTTGTTGCAATGACAGCGTAAGGATGGAAGTCAAGTGTTCCAATCTTAGTTTAGATCACTCACTGGAGCAGGGAAAGTTGTTGCTCCAAAATCGCCAAAGTGGATGAGAACTCTGCATCGTGCACTTCTTTTAACACATTTGCCTGCTTTGGGGAATGCCACCAGGGCCTCTGGTTGTCACATGTTTTGCCAGTAATGGCGAATGATATGGATGACTGGGCATTTCGTGCATCGTTGCTTCCACTGCTCTATAAGGATAGCTCGGAGCCAGAAAGCTTAAGTTCCTGTCAATAAATTCATTGGATAGTGACAGTGATGCTTATACTGCCACGTACAATCGGGAATTACGTCAAATCCATCCTCGCTGGGGATAACTATATGCAAGGTATTTTAGGGCAACTTAGCTTTCTAAAGATAGAACTTCTGCTTCTGTCTTGCTCCAGCGGTAAATGTTGTGCTGCAATTGCATATTTGGTGGTGTTGCTCAAAGCCAGAGTTGAGTGCTCGCTGATGGAGTCTGTCAGCTGCTCAGATTTCTTTGATCATTGGATGTAGT